CTATCTATCTATCTATCTATCTATCTATCTATCTATCTATCTATCTATCTATCTATTTTTTGAGACAAAGTCTCACCATGTAGCCTTGACTGTCCTAGAATTCATAATGGCCTCAAACTCACTCAGGGATCCACCTGCCGCTGCCTCCCAAGTGCTGGCATTAAAGGCGTGTACCATCACACCTGACTCGAATTTTATTTTTCAGTTTTTCCCGATTTATGTATGTGAGTATTTTGTCTGCATGTGTATGTGCACCACATGTGTGCTGATATACAAAGAGGTCAGGAAAGGGTTCGGATCCCTTGTAATGGGAGTTACAGATGGTTGTGAGCCACCATGTGGGTGCTAGCAATCAAATCTGAGTCCCCTGCAATAATAACAAGTGTTCTAAACGGCCGAGCCATCTCTCCAGCTCCTTGAATCTTATTTTTAAGTGAGCCAATTGTGAATAAAAAATTGGTTTTAAACAGTCAAACCCTTGGAGTTGTGATAAGCTAGTATTATTAATTGGCGATCTCACACAGATACCACAAGAATGTCAGAATAAAAGCATTGTATCACATGACTCCTGATGATGTTTTTTCTTGGTCTTTTACCAGCGGTCACAGATTCAGGAGGTGGCACTGAAGACAGAAAGTCCAAGACATGCTTAATGTTATAATATAATCCAGCTGGTCTCTATCGCAAGTGTCATCTTAGTCTCCGAGAAAAAACCTTCAAAAGACCCTCTCTGAATTCAGTTCAGTAGCCCTGGAGTAACGACGATTTCTAGAGACACTGCCATGTGACTATCCACAGAGTATCTACTGCTGACCTAGAAACCCCGTGAGCTAAATAAAGTTCAATCAAGGAACAAACTATGACAAAAAATGCATTTTATGCCAGTTTGTTTTAAATTAAAAATATGCTCTCTTGAAATGAGTCACAAGACCTATTAAGATTTATTTGTATGTCTGTGTCTGTGTGGGTCTATGTGGCAAGTGTGCCTCTGCCGGGGAAGAAGGGGCTTCAGACCCCACACCTTGAGTTACCTGGGGAAGGGGCTTCAGACCCCACACCTTGAGTTACCTGGGGAAGAGGGCTTCAGACCCCGCCAACTTGAGTCACAGGCGCTGGGAGCCACCTGACACGGACGGGGTCCTCTGGGAGAAGAGCAGGTGCTTGTGAGTCCGGAGCATCTCTCAGCCTGAGCGCAGGTATAGAGTAGCTGACTGCGCAAAGAGCCAAAGCACCAGGCAGCTGTACCGAGTCGATGCCAAACACCACCACGGACTGGACAAGATTCCTTCAGCTATCACTCCCGTTATCTGCCACTGTGCTCGGTTATCTGAATTCATACACGAAATATATCACAAACTGCACTTTCATTCCCAAATACACTGCTCTATTGTACAAGAATGCGTAGTCTTCCCAGTTAGCATTTAACTTTGCAGCACTCTATTTTCTGAGGATCACTGGATGATGAATATACTTTATTGTAAGACCGCTTAGCTATAGGAATTCCAGCACTAATATCAACTTTGGTGTTGGACATTTCAGATAATTTCCGCAGAAATCAAGATTCCTTTTTACTCACTGTAAGTAATAAGCTGAAGAAACAACACCTTCAAGAAATGAGGAACTTTTACACAATATTTAACATCAGTACACATGACTCTAATTCACTATTTTCTGATAGTTCAGAAAGGATTGCAAAATGACTTCCAAAAGATCTCAGCACAGTGCCTCACGCCTGACAGAAGCCTGGTAAGCAGTTGTCAAGTGAGTGAGTGAGTAACAATTATCCAGTCAAAGGAAAAACTCGGACACTGGCCATTTTAAAAGCAGACACTACATAATTTATTTACAGTTTAATGCCAATCACTCCCTGTTCAAATGTCACTTACAACGGTGTATCATACACTGAAGAGCTATGGCCAAGACAGATCTGTGGATAAGCAACTGAGACACCACCACCCAAGTGGAGAAGGAAGTGTCTGAGGCAGTCCCCGTCCGAGCCTCCGAAACATGGCCTGGTGGCTGTCCACTCAGTGGCATGGACACGTTCACGGAGTTTCACAGGACACTACCTCACCAAGGAATGAGGCTCTCTCCCAGTTCACAGAAACAAGTCCTGAAAATAATCATCAAATTCTTCTTCCCTATTAAAAAAGTACAAACATCAATTACAATTGAGAGCACTCAAAATAATAAAAATTAGATAAATCAATAGAGTAAAAAATTAAGAGATACATTATATGAGACTAATAAAAATAAAATACTTTCAGTATATTAGCTGATCATTTTACATACCAATATGTTTTCATAATTCAAATAATTCTGAGTTTCTAAACAATCAGCTATTCTCAAAATTGTTAAAACTGGAATAGCTCACATGCTGGTACCTCTCTCAAAAACCCTGAGTTTTCCTTGAAATACTTTGTGAAACACCATTGCTTCTCTTTGCTTTTTTGGTTGATTCTATACCTTCTCTGTTCACTATTTCAAATTATAATCTGCTTAAGAAATGTATGGAACAGAAACCGTGTTTAAGAAAAGTTAAAGTCTTACTCCCAGGAATGTGAGGACATTTGCTCAGGCCACAGTCTTTATTAGTCTGAGACCAGTAAGTAAATATTTGTACTAGTAAAGGTTCTGCCTAAAAGAAAGAACAGAACTTGGAGGGACATTCCTTTCGGTATAACCTGTCAAATACAGGGACAAGCATCCAGTGCTCAATAAGGGTAGGTCTGCAGCAGCCTCACACAGCCAAGCAGCTCAGGCTTTGAAGTCAGCCGCAGGAGAGCAAGAGCTCCAAGTCATCTGTTGTTGGGAGGCAGAGATGAGTGTCGGCAGGGGTCCTCCCACACCTGTGTAACCCTTCAAGGGACTCCTCAGTGTGGGGCCTGAGAATCGGAACATCATGGGACAGGCTGTCCTAGATGCATTCCTCTCAGAAGGAGTGCGAGCCAGGACAGAGGGTTGTCTGTTAAAATGAACCGATGCTGGCCCACCAGCTCTCTACAGCCAAGAACAATGGCTGGTAATACACTTTCACCTTACCAGGGTAGGGGGCCTTTGGCACTATTAAATATTGTCATGAACTGATATCAAGAACAGCTGTCTCCGCAGCCTCCTAAGCTGATGACAGAAGGGAGCATCTATGATCTCAGCACTCACTGTGACTTGTCGTCGGTCTCTGGCAGGGGACCCTTCCAGAGCTCGGATTCCGAAGCACCTTCTTCCTCATCAGGGTTTCCTGCTCATGCAGAAGAAAAGGTTTTTGCTTTGTTTTTAAACGTTTTTAAATCATTTACCAGTGCAATTAAATTAACTATGAATTTAACAGCAATTTAGCTTCAACTTCTATAATTCCCTGGAAATTTAAGTTATTCCTCCAGATACAATAAAATTTAAAAATTAAACAATATGAGAAATACCAGAGTCTCAGCAAAGAGGGCATGGAACTACTGTCTTATGAACAACTTCCTCATGTTACACTGAAAAACAGGAGCAGCTGATTTAGTTATTCCCTTGATCATACAACGGAAATGAAGTGAAGATTTACCTAGAGAACATGTCTATATTAGGACCAGCACTCAAGAACAGCTCCTTTAGACTAACAGCTGTCATCACAGAGGAGTCACTTACCGATGTAATTACATCATGAACAGTGTGTCTGCCTGCTAATACATTATCCAATACTGAGTAAATTTTAGCTGAGTATTAGATGATTCATTTGAGGTCTATATTTTTTATATTTTTAAAATAGGAATATATTATTTTTACTGATTTTAGAGGTAATATGTACTTATTATCTAAAATAAAGGCCATTTGCAAATGTTTAAAGTACAGAGGAAAAGTTATCCGGAGCTTACAGGTAATGCAATATTTAAGTCTGGTTGGCCCTCACAAAATCATGATACATAAGTTTACATGTATGTATATAACATACAACTTTTAAAATAAATTGGATTGTACTGTGCATATTATCTGTAACGATAAAAGATTTGAGATAGCACAGTTTTCCTTGACAATATATATAAACATGTCAGTTTTTTTTAGAATTTATTTTTAATGATGCATGTGTATACAGGGGCCTGCAGAAGCCTGAGGTGTCAGATCTCCAAGGTCCTGGCAACTAAACATGGGCCTCTGTAAGGCCGATCTATGCTTTGACCACAGAGTCATCTATCTCCCTAGCCCCATGAAAGCTTTAAACAAACAAAAAACAAAACAAAATAAAACCAGCTACATTGAATTTGATTAACCAATGCTCAATTCCTGATTGGTGGGGAGTTAGGCTGTTTTTCTTTTTCTTGGGTGAGGGGCAGTGCTGGTGATTCTACCCAGGGTCTTAGAAATGCTGGCAAGGGCTCCACAGTGGCCCACAGCCCAGCCTAACTGTGTCTCTTGTTGCACGGTATATATTTCTGTCTGAATTTATCTGAGGTGCTTATCTATTCCAAATAAAATACCATTTCCAAAGGCAGCATTGCTGGCCACCAGACATGAGTTCTAAAGCAGTGACAGGGCTAGGTTTCCTCCAGAAGTTTGCACTCTTCTGAACCATGTCTGGGAAGCCTCTTTCCTCAAACAATAAGCATGATTTTTACAAAATGTCCGACAAATGTTTTTTGGTTTTTTTTTTGTAACAGAACTGCAATCTCACACAGAGGCTTAGCTGCTCATGTGCTCAACCTAACACAATGTGCCCTTTACAGACCTTAACTTACTTAACTGCGATGATTAAGAGACACTAAGTCAAGAATGACATTGTAAGGGATAATCCCCTTGTAGAGCGAACACTGGAGTTCCATCCTAACTCACATTTGGCTGCCAGTACAGAATGTCCCTCGGTTCAGCACAGCACAAAAATAAAGCAGCATTGATTTGCCACGGTGGTTCTAGCCTTTTACCTGCTGGACTCTGATCCCTGAATCAATGTGGATGCCTGAACTTTGATCCTAACTGAATCTGTTGTGGCACCAATTGTAACAAACAGGAGGGGGAGGGTGCTGTCTAACGAGCTATGTACACATGATGATGAAACTATGAAGTCTTGGAGGAAGATTCCTGTTCTGTGACAGCCATCACTCCAGTTCCCAGTGTCCTCAACTGGTAACACAAGAATAAAATCTTTCACTCATTGAGCTAAGAAAGGATAGAAAATCTGACTGTGCCTAATAAGGGCATCTCTCTGGCATTACTGTTAAGATGTCAGAGAACAGAACCTACATGGCCTTCAGAACCTAGCAGCTCATTTTCAAGTCTTACACTATAAACTGCTCCGTTGGTCACTCGTGTCCCCTTCCAGGAATACTTTCCACAAGTCAGCTTTCCCACAACAATTTTCTTTGTATGGAATGTCTTTGCCTGTGTGTGGTGTGTATAGATGTGTGTGTGTGTGTGTGTGTGTGTGTGTGTGTGTGTGTGTGTGCGCACAGAGGCCAGAGGTCAGCTTCCGGTGCTATTCCTTAGGTGTTGTCCACCTTTGTTTTTAAGAAAGGGCCTTTCACTGGCCTCGAACTCACTAAACAGGTAAGGCTGGCTGATCAAGACCCAGAGATATGCTTGTCTCTTCCTCCCCTGCACTAGGTTGAAAGTGTGGTACCACACCTGGACCACTTCTTTTCACACTGATTTATGATTACCTCGTGCAGGTGTGCACATGCAGGACACAGTATGGAGACCAGACAAGCTGCTCTCTACCACTGCCATGTGGGCTCCAGGGATTAAACCTGTCAAGTTTGTCGGCCAGTGCTTTTACCCACTGAGTTGATCTTAGTTCGGTTTTGAAAGTGGGTTCTGAGGACTGAATTCAGTTTCTCTTGTTTTATGGAAGCCCTGTACCAACTGGACTACTGACCCAGTCCTGTATATCAATTTTCTGATACCAGATAATGCAATTTTACTTTTAAAAAGTTAAATTAAAATAAATCCCAT